CGATTTAAAACGCGAAGCCGTAACTTTGTTAGTTGAATCACTGAAGTTATTCCGATACCGTACTGCAAACGAAGCACTGATGAGATTTAATATTGGTTTTATGTTTAGCGGTAAAAGGATCGCAAAGTAGGTTATGTTAAATAAATCACAATCTATTTCTTTTTATAAAATTGAATTCATAAACTAACTTTTTTTATGTATATTTAGAGAACAACGCATCTGTAGGCTTTTGTGTTTGGTGTCAGTTGCAAACGACCATAGTTTGTAGTAGCCACTTACCTTCAGTTGGACTGTATGGTGAGTGTAGAGAACCGGTGATCCATTTTACTGGAAACGAGGCATTCCATTTTAGTCCTAACAATGCATCTGCATTATGATAATTATTCGTGAAAAGATGTATATGTCATGGGTATGTCTACTTACCATATCAGGTGGAGTGTGTGCTCGTCACGTTTATTCTATAATAAATATAAATAAAACAAGTCACCGCTGAGACTAGCCGCCAGTACGGAAATTCGGTCTAGAGGACATTATTTACCTGATCATGGATTTTTCATGGTTTTTTTGTTGATGACTTACATAGTAACTAAGAAATTCATTGACTTCTTAACTACTGACAATATAAAGTTAATCAACGACTTGTTTTTAATGAAAATGAGTTTAAAAAAAATACTAGTCGTTTTCGAATGATGTTTCCAACCTAAGCGTTATACACCTACCTACTGCAAAACACACACACACACACACACACACACACACACAGATGAACATAAGTGGCGCCCCCTACCCTACGGAGATTGCAATGCTAACATCATTACGCATCCAGTAGCCGCGGACAGCCAGACAAACAGAGATCTCTGGAGACGACGCGGACCATACGCGAGGAACGAATATTATGGTCGCTTTAGATGCGGTAACTCAGTTTTTAAAAGTAATATAGTTCAAAGATATATCTTCAAATGAGAATACGAGAAAAATATCTATAAATGGACGAATAGATGGATGCAAAATCGATGTTCAGAGTTAGAAGTTATTAAAAAAATAAAGATTTATTTTCAAGGATATATTCGTGTTTAATTTTCCTTGTTTTTAACTGGATTAACCACAACATTGGAACGTCAAACACCTCAGCCCTCCTCCTCGATGGATGGATGCTACAAAGAACAAAGTAAGTGCAGTAAACTCTGTAAATTATGTTCATTTAATAAATTCAAGTAAATATAAGAAATCATAAGAAATATTTTTTTATAGTAGTAAAGGTGACAAACAAGGACACAGTCCACTTTGTGAAATAAAAGTAACTGAAAATCGAAAGAAAACTCCAGATTTTTCTGACATACACAATATATACAACACACTGTGTAGTGGCGGTGTAATAATGTCCACTACCCCATATCGTCTCGTGGGTGTCGTAAGAGGCAACAGAGTGAAAATGAAACAGGAGATGGGCAGCAGCACCTTCCTGATAACAACTCAAAATAATAAAAGGCTGCGGTTGCCAACCCGCCTACCAAGTGTGGCGACTATGGCAAAATCCTTTTGCCATACATGCCATGCTGCTGAACATAGGGCTCCTCATAGAAGAGCGCTATGTTCAGCAGTGGGACTTTTATAGGCTGTGGATGGACGTATAGAAGATAATCTACCAGGAGCACATGACTCGCTGAGAGGTGAAGTTAATAAATCAACAGTAGCGTTACAACTAAGGTAAATATCCCCCCCTATGAGGCAATTTATAGAGGAAGCCTATGTTCAGCAGTGGACTATTATAGGCTGTAATAGATGGATGTAAAGAAGATAATCGACCAGGAGCACATGATTCGCTGAGAGGTGAAATTATTAAATACAACTATGCTAAATAAGGCATTACAAAAAGGCAATCCATAAGGAAGCCTATGTATGGGCTTTTACAGGTTGTAAAGGTAACACTTCTATCTAGGAATTTCGAGCACGTAAAGATAGAAATGGAAATAATAGAATTTCCCATGTCCATTCCTATTATTGCTCGCGACCAACGCAGTTTTCTCTCCGTGTTTACACCAGACAAACACGGCGTAATGATACTCCAGTTAATTAAGAGACCAGAGCAAACACTGTCAGAGAAGCGCGCTAAATACACATATTTTACACGGTAAGATAAATCTTCTAAAAATTTTCTAAGAAGCAAATTCAAATTAAGTTTTTCAGGGAAACCTCTGAAATGTGTAATTTGAATTTAATGATTTTAATTTTTTTGAATTTTAGAATATATTTTTGAATTTGTTAGCAATTTAATGATTTTGTTGGATAATTTTAAAAAGTCATTTCATATGGTTAATTGATTACACTATTAAATATGTTGGTATATTAGGCTGGCAAATATATCCCCTGTGAAGTATGGGGGAATTCAATGTTCAGCAGTGTACTTTTGATAAGCTGTAATAGATAGATAAAACTAACAAAGTTATTTTCTCAAAAACTAAACTAGCATCTTAATTATTTTCTAAATACCACTATTAAATAGCATAATGTTTTTCATACGATGCATGTCGAAGGCCGGAGACATGTCCTCCAGACCGAATTTCGGTCACGGCGGCCAGTCTAAACAGAGACTAGCCATTTGGGCAGGATAAAATTATAGTGGCCGAGTGTATGTGCAAGCACAGATGCACTCTCTATTCCCTCACTCTCACAGTCCGATGGGACGATTATCCGACACGACAAGAGAGAAAGAAAGAAGAAAGAAAGAAAATAACTTTATTTAGTAACACATTTATAAGTTTGCTAACCATAATAACATATTAAGATAAACGGTTACTAAAAAGGTACCCAACTCAGCATAGTCTTGGTACTAACAAAGTACTTCGACACTGATCTTCCGTGGGTGCCAATAACATTTAACAAAAACATAACTACAATATTCATTATTATACAATGTTAAGTCAATATGCATATACAGTATATTTAAACCATATACACGATTACACTATAATATAAGTAATAAAACATACATAAGTACTTATAATAAATTAATATAATAAAAATAGCTATTATTTAAATAAGATTAAAAGGAAACGAATAAACGGAATAGAAAAGTATGTAAGTAAATAATTTTCACAGTAAATCACAGTAAATAATTTTCAATAAATTGACTTTTGAATACGGAGTAAGTATTTTTTGTAGTTATATTTAAACAAACCGATTGAAGCTAGATTTCTAATTGGTGGTGGAATGTTGTTTCAGCATTTCGTGGCAGAATAACGAAAGCTACCTCGAAATGCCGATGTACTGTGTCTTGGACACACTAAACGAGTTGCTATTCTAACCTGTCGCCGTGAAAAGTGTAATTTGTTATAAAGATACTGTGGTGTGTGTGTCATTATGATACCAAATAATAAACTGGCGAAATGAAGAGAACGTCGAGACTGCATATTCATTAAATTACTGTTGTTGAGATAAGGTGTTACATGGGTCCGCTTCGGTATGTTAAAACAAAAACGTGAACCAGCGTTTTGCACCCTTTGTATAACTTTCTTTGTATGAGAGAGGAGACACTCGCCTATAACCGCATCAGCGTAATTAAGCTTAAAAAGAATTAGTGACTTAAAAAAGTATATCCTAAGGTCTAAGCTTAAATATTTACGTACTTGGTATAAAATTTTTAGCCTAAAATAACAATTTTTAACAACTTCTAGGACATGATTATGAAATTTTAATTTGCTGTCCATTAGTACACCCAGGTTTCTAGCCTCTGTCACTTGTTCAATATTATTATTCTGTATTTTTAGCTCTAAAGAAAACCTATTAATCCTATCTACAAGATTTTTGGACCCTAGCACAAGAAATTTTGACTTTTGAGGATTTAGCACTAAGCTGTTTTTATTAGACCATTCAACTACGTGTGCTAAATCCTGATTAATTTTTGTCACTGCTAATAAAGTTTCTGAAGGTCTAAAAGAATAGTAAAACTCCAAGTCATCAGCATAAGCATGAAATTTGCAATGTTTAATGCATGAAGCGATATCTGCACTATAAAGAATAAAATGGAGTGGACCCAGTATTGAACCCTGTGGTACACCTTGACAACAATTGAAATATCTGAGAGTCTTTTAGTATTTGTTTTACTAAGTACTTCGACTCTTTGAGAGCGTCCGTACAAAAACCTTGAAAACTATTTTAACGTCATACTATCAAATCCATAATATGAGAGTTTTGACATAAGCAAATCGTGGTTTATTGTAGCAAAAGCACGGGAAAAGTCCAGCAGTACCAATATTGTTCCATTTCCAGAATCAGCTTCGGATTAGTACATCATCCACTACATCTAACAAAGCAGTGGCCGTGCTATGACCATTTCTGAAACCAGGCTGTTTTTGAGGTAAGATGTTGTTGACATTCAGAAACTCCAAAAGTTGCTGAGATACAACTTTTTCAACTATCTTAGACATAAAGGGAAGAATACTAATGGGACGGAGATCCTTTAACTCGTTCGGATTGCTTTTCTTTGGTATTGGTTTGACAGAGCTCTTTTCCAAATGTCAGGGAAAACGCCTGTTTTGATGGACTGATTAACAATGGCAGTAATGGTCGCTAATGTACGAGGTAATGTCAACTGGATCATATCACGCGTAATGCCATCAGCTCCTTGGACATTACTCGCAATATTAGAAAATATTTTAGAAATTTCTGTTTCATACACAGTTTTAAGACTAAATATTGCAGAGGTACACCGATTCTACTTGAGAAAGATCAGGCGCACGATTAAAGGCTTTACTTGCTTTTCCGAGGCACCTCTGAAAATTTCTTGACAGAACAATCCAATAGCTGACTTTGGATTTGAACCCGAGACCTCATTATCAGCAACCGCGTTTCCGGTCACTACATCAATAATACATGAACACAGCAAAAGGAACACAGTTACATAAGGTAAATAACAAAGATACGTACGTACGTAAAGGTACGAAGCAAGACGAATCATTTGGGCAGTAAAGGAGCATCTAGGAAAAATTAAAGAAACCCACCTGCACAATCAAATGGTCCATCTCAGCCAACGCACGCAGCAAATGGGCAGTGCGAGCGGCCCTCACGAAGCTGCCGCAGTGGCCAAGGTCCGCCCCTTTGGCGAACAGCATGCAGAACTCCGCACGCGAGCCACATATGCTAGTTCCTAGTGCACAGCGGAGCGATTGTCTCGCCGATGAGCGCTCTGAACCCTGGAGGAATATTTCTAGCATTGGAAATAGTAGAAATAGTACAAATGGCAAATTTAAAATTTTGTACAAACGACTTCAATATGAATATAATTTATTGTAGAATTGTTTCAAAACCCCTGATTTCAACTGATTTCTTGGGAAGTATACTGTTTGAAACAAAAAAAATATTTTCCAAATCAGTTCAAGCGTCTTTGAGTAATCGGTGAACATACATAAAATCTCAATTGAGAACCTCCTCCTTTTTTGAAGTCGTTGGAAAAGTGCGATTATGAGACCGAATAGCCAAAATCATAAACATAAACTCTTATGCTTGTCATCTAAACGTATAGGCAAAGACTTTAATATGACGCATGTTGCTGACACACCTCTCTCGTTCTTTCACAGTCATATATTTACGCATATACGCTCGTCAATTAAGCGTACTCTTAGGCCTGAATTCCTCCTACGCTGACGTCGGTCGCGTACGTCGGTCGCGCGTACTAATGTACATTGTGTTCTATATAGCCCAAAACTACGACGCCGACGACAGCGGCGCGTAGTTTGCGACGTACGCGTACGCAACCGACCGTACGCAACCGACATCAGCGTAGAAGGAATTCGGGTCTAAGGCCTTATTTTGGCCAATCTTAAATATATCACCGATTTAGTCGATAGGGGGTCATTGTAGAAGCGTGCTCGTCGCGACCCCTGCCAGCCCTTTTCAGGGCTGCAATTCTACTAGCTGCGCACCCATACCAACGAGGGTTAGGGCGTCCCCCCAAGGCGACGCACACCAGCTCGTCCCCGTTGGTGTGGAATGCAGCGCGCAAAGCGGCGATGGGGACCGCCACCCGTCACGCACAGCCCGACACGGCGGAAGGTGGAGGACAGAGTGCAGAGTTGGCACGTGGAATGTTAGAGGAGGCATGAGAGATAAGACGAATGAGTTGATCGAAATAATGAAAGAAAGAGAATTAGATGTCGTGTGTATGTCGGAGACCAAACGGAAGGGCAGTGGTACTGAAGAGCTCCCTGGCGGGGCGTTAGCTCTATGGTCCGGAGTCCCGGAGAGCGAGAACGCCTGCCAGGGAGTGGGGGTGCTGTTATCTTCTCGGTTGGTCGATGTTATGACTGAATATAAGGTTGTGAACTCAAGACCTCTCTTTAGATTGGGACTTCTTTTCTCAAGGGTTCGCTTTAAATCGGGACTGACGAAGTTATTCCTTTTGGCTGTTTATGCGCCGGTAGCTTCGTCGTCCAGGGCTGAGCTGGAGGAGTTTTGGGAGAATGTAAGAGAAGTTCTAGATTTGGCTAGGGGAAACGAAAGAATTGTTGTATGTGGTGATTTGAATGGATGGGTTGGTACCGCTCGACCAGGGTACGAGTCGGTACTTGGAAAGTTTGGCGATAAAAGGGTTAATGATGCTGGCAAGCTTATACTGGCGGTGTGCAAGGAAAAGGGTCTTCTTGTGACAAACACTATGTTTAATCACAAGAAAATCCATATGTATACTAGAGAAAGAAAGAATGAGAGAAGTATGATCGATTTGTTCCTGGTGGATGACCGACTGTTAAAACAGATGATGGATACGCGAGTGTTAAGGGGTGCTGACCTGGGAACGGATCACTATCTAGTGATTACTAGATTTAGGGGTCTGTTCGCGGGTTGGCGCTACCGGACGGCAGTAACAGAACCACAGTCGGTCTGTCGCATCCGAAGCTGGAAGCTTCAGGAAGCGGATACTAGGGACAAATATCATGCGAGGGTAGCCGAAAAGCTTGACGCCATCAATGGCAGAAACAAATGTGTAGAAAGAACATGGCAGAACCTTAGGGATGGAATGGTAAGTGCAGCGGAAGAAGTGTGTGGAACAATAAAAAGAGGCAGTAGTAAAAGAAGAGATGCATGGTGGAATGATGAAGTGAAAGAAGCTGTAAAGAAGAAGAAGAAAGCATGGTTAGACTACTTGGCCTCTAGTAATGATAAGGATATGAGAGAGAAGATGAAAGAAAGATATAGGCTGCAGAAAGTTCACACGAAAGCACTGATTGAGGAAGTGCGTGAAAGGTGTAGAATGGAAGCGGACGAAAGGTTGTCGCACAACTTTAAGGAGAACTCCAAACTCTTCTGGAAAGAGGTTGGAAGGGCCCGAAGTGGTGCGACGGCCTTAAGAATGAACAAAGTGCTTTCGAGAACTAATGACGTCCTCTCAGAAAAATCGGACGTCATGCAGCGATGGAGCGAATTTTATAGAGAAATGTATGCGTGTGATGATCTTAGTGAGGGATCCGGGGATGACGCCGTGACTGGTACGCCAGACCCGGACCTCGATGACACTGAGGTCATCAGTATGAAAGAGATTGAACGTGCGATTCGAAGTTTGAAATGTGGTAAGGCTGCGGGACTAGACAGAGTTACTGCTGAAATGGTCAAGTATGGTGGGCCTCGCGTCTGGGACAGCTTTCATCTGCTGTGCAATTTGTGCTGGCGGACGGGGGATGTCCCGGATGATTGGCGATCCGCAGTCATTGTGCCTTTATATAAAGGTAAAGGTTCACATTTTGACTGCGGGTGCTATCGGGCGATCAGCTTGACCAGTTTAGCAAGTAAAGTTTACTCGAAGGTTTTGACACGTAGGATGCAAGAGAAATCGGAAAGATTTCTATGGGAGGCACAATGCGGATTTAGACCTGGAAGAGGATGCACGGATCAAATGTTTTCTCTCCGCATGATCACGGAGAAGCTTCTGGCTGCTAACCAGAAGATTTTCTGTGCTTTTGTGGATCTTGAGAAAGCATTTGATAAGGTTGTAAGGAAGAAAATGTGGGAACTGTTGCCGGGGTATGGTGTGGATGGTCAATTGCTAAGGGCTGTGCAGTCTCTTTACTGTGACTGTAAAGCCTGTGTGCGGGTAGGGCATGACCTGTCACCCATGTTTAACGTCCAAACGGGCGTAAAGCAGGGTTGTGTCATGTCTTCCTGGCTGTTCATACTGTATCTCGACAGCTGTTTACAGAAGCTGAAAGATAGTTGTTTGGGTGTGAAATTGGGTGACATAAAAGTAAATTGTCTGCTGTATGCTGATGATGCAGTGCTTATTGCACCATCAGAGGCAGAACTGCAGGCATTAGTCACGTGTATGAAAGAGGAATGTGAAATTAAAGGTCTCCGTTTGAATGCTAATAAAACTAAGGTTTTGGTATTTGAAAGGGACGAAGAGAGAACGAAGTGTGAAATATGGGTAAATCAGGAATGTCTAGAACAGGTAAATGAAATTGTATACTTGGGGAGTGCTTTTAGCCGGGATGGAAGATGTGATTTAGATGTGGACAGGCGTGTCGCTGCCGGGAACAAAGTCAATGGTGCCCTGACTGCGTTAGTGAAAAGGCAAGGCGTAGCGAAGAGTGCACGCCTTGCAATACATAACGCAGTGTTGGTACCGACTTTGTTATATGGCAGCTAAACCTGGGTATGCCAGAAGAAACATAAAAGTAAGTTGAATGCAGTGGAGATGCGATCTCTTCGTAAAATGTGCGGCGTTACCATGGCCGACCGAAAGCGAAACGAAGAGATTCGCAATATGGCAGGTTTGAAAGATGACCTTATCACAAAAATTGATAAGGGCGTGCTTCGGTGGTTTGGGCACGTTGAGCGAATGAGTGAAGACCGAATGGTGAAGAAAATATATAGCGCGAAAGTTAATATTAAAAGGTGTCGAGGTAGACCGAGACTAACTTTCGAAGACCATGTGAGCAAATTGCTCGAAGAGGGTAGGGTCAAAAGTACTCGGATACTTAGACGTGCATGCATGAAGAAGATAATGAATCTGAAAGAAGCGAAAGAGGTTTGTAAGGATCGTGACACTTGGCGATCTGTTCTCTCTGGCTGCCCCGTCAGGGATTGTGCGTGAAGATAAGTAAGTAAGTAAGTAGTCGATAACCTTCCCTCTAGTGTCCTTTGCCGACTCTGTCACTCCCTTCTGCAGCATAAATTCCTTTTGTCACACTTTTCTCGTTCATTTTTTTTCTAATTATCCATAACACTGAAGCATTCATAACAAAACATATAATGTAAATATGAAGATAGGCCTCCTTTGATGAGATGATGAGACAATCTATGTCATTGTCTCATCATATCATCAAGGGGGATTTTGCTATCGTTGACACACTGGGCGGGCGGGTTGTCAACCCCCAGTTTTTTTATTTTTTCGAGGTGTTATCAGGGAGATTTATTCGTGGTAGAGCCATGCTGCAGCTATACTAGTTGTAGGACGAATGGGTCGGCTCGACCGGGGAAAGACCACGCTCTCACAGAATACCAGCGTCAAATAGCAGTTTAACACTGCTGTGTTTCGTATGGTGAGTGTAGAGAACTGGAGACTCTTTTTACTGGGAACGAGGCCTTCCATCTAAGTCCTCACGGGTGGCAACGCATCTGCATTTTGATTCGCAGACGAGGATAAATGTAGATGTCTATTGGCCACAGCAACCTCTTACCATCAGATGGACTGTGTGCTCGTTTGTCACCCTTTACTATAAAAAAAAAATGCTGCTTCCCATCACCTGTTTCAGTTTCCCTCTGTCGCTTCTTATGACACCCACAGGACGATATTAGATAATGGATATTCTTACACCGCCACTACTCGGTCATTTCAGTCTTTATTGAACAACAACTTTGACCAGTTTAAAAAAAATACAATCTTAAAAATTGGCGGGGAATGGATAATTTAGATTTTAACTGTGGAAAATAGAAATGAAAAACCACCCAATTTTTGATTTGTAATATATAAAAATACATCTCACCACGTCAGCATCAGAAGGATGGCAAAGGTCTGCACACACGGTGAGCAAGGTTTGCACACTCTCGCGTGCCTCTCCAGCTTTTTCCGCGCGTGCGATGCAGCCGCTGAGGCACAGGTAGCTAAGACAAATTGTTTAAATATTAATATCAGGACATTCGAGCATACAGAAGCCGTGGTAGTTCAGATGGTTAGCTGTCGCTGTAAATTTCACAGTACGCGAGCAACCCGAGTACGATCCCCGCCGACACCAATGATATTGATAATTGCAATAAACATCGTGAGGAAACCTGCATGTCTAAGAAATAAGAAAAAAATATTTCGAAGACTTGAAGTTCGCCAACACGCATGGGGCAGCGCGGCGGAGACTTTCTTGCCCTAAAACCCTCTCAGAAATGAGAGGAGGCCTGTGCTCAGCAGTGGGACGTATATAGGCTGTAACTAACTAACAAGCATACAGATAAGCGTAGTTATTGTAAGCCGATTTAAAAAAATCAGCCAAGTGCGAGTCGCGACTCGCGCATGAAGGGTAGAAATCATTTCTAGTAGGGGAGAACTTTTAATTTATTTTTATTTTTAATATTATTGTTACAGTGGTAACAGAAATACACATTCCGTGAAAATTCTAAAAGACGGACGGACAGCGGAGGCTTAGTAATAGGGTCCCGTTGGTTACCCTTCGGGTACAGAACCCTAAAAAGGGACAGATTCTCAATTAGACTGTATGTATATTACGTGATATCTTTGCTAATTACAAAACTATTTCTAAAATTCCCTTTTTAATAAATACTTCATGAGTGGCCCCATATAGTTTTGGAGAAAAAATTACACTCCTACGGGTGATTAAGGCAAAATAAGAGATGATGTTTTTAATGTAACTTAAACGTCATTACGGATGTGATATTCCTTGGTCCATTCAAATGGTAAAAAAACTTTTATTAAAGGCGAAAAGGTGAAGCTTTAATTCTTCTATACACTATGTCTAAGAAACGACATCAGAATTTGAAATTATTTTATTACTAGCTTTTGCCCACGACTCCGTCCGCGTAGGTAGATATACTTTATACCATAGGTGATCCATCAATAATCGTACTTTCATAGTAAATTCCGACAACCTCTTTAGGGATGGTTTCCGTGATCAAAGCTATCCTATTTCCTTCCCCGGGACTTAAACTATCTGGATACCAAATTTCATCTAAATCGGTTCAACGGTTTAAGCGTGAAGATGTATATTTGCTCACGCGGCGGTGAGCGAAGTTTTACCCCACCTCGGCCGCAGTACGCCAAACCGCCCTGCGTGCGCCGGACAGCACAATTTTATATCGACCAAATAACGTAGTTTAAAAGAAAAAATTAAAGCTTAAAAAGCGTTAAAAGTTAAGCGATTAAAGTATTTATTTTGATAAAATCTATTTAATAGTGCAAAATTTGCATTGGAAATAAAGCATCAAATTTTATTTTATTTATGGTTTACTAATGTGCTGTGTGGCTTACACATAAAAGATAGATATATACTGTCGCGGACTTTTTTGTGGAACTATTTAGGAGAAACAATTCAACCATACATTATATTTGTGTAATTCTTATAGTTTTTGCACCGCACGCCAAAATAGCTTGCAGATGACAGATTTTTTCCGACTTACTCTACACTTATCGTTATATTTAATGTATATCGTTGTATCTGATGTATGAGCTATATTATTGTAGTTTCATTAAAATACATTCAGTAGTTTTTGCGTAGAAGAGTTACAAACATCCATACATCCTCACAAACTTTATCGTCTATAATATATATTAATGTGTATGTGTATCTCAGGTAGCTAGCTAGCAGAGCTGTATATATTATATATATACATACACACACATCTGTATTAAACGTATCTGAGAGTCACATGAGTTCAGGGATTTTTCCCCATCCCGAAAGTGCGTAACATGCCTAAAGAAGTTTTTCATCAATTACCTCAATTATGGTAACATAGAGAACTGGTGTGTATAGAGAATCTTAGTTAATTCTAAATTTGTATCCTTTTTTCTTTCTTTTGATACTTAGTCATGACATTTTCCTGAAATTTTCTCAAACACACTCCACCCTTCAAGAATCCTCAATACTACTTATCAACTAATTGTCTCTTTTCAATAGTCAGTTTATCATTGACATAGTAACTATCTTTGATTTGCAGAAGAGAGCCATAAGATCAATTTATAACTTAGGTCCGAAGAAGTATCTCAGAGAAAAAAAAATTAAACTAATAATAACTTTGGTCTCTCAGTATATTTACAAAAATTTAATGTTACATTACATTATATTATAAAATAAAAACAAAAATGAATAATAGTGATTTGCATTCTGTAAATACTAGGAACAAGCACAAACTAGTTACTCGACTCCAAAGAGTCAGTAATTCTTTCATGGGGCAAAGTATACGACAAGGTCTCAGAAAATATGTGAAACTTATCTATCAGAAAGTAACATTTTAATTATGCAAAAATTTGTTAAATAGCCTCTGGGCATGAGGCGATCGCTAGCATGCTGTTTCTAAATGTTTTCATATTTAACATATTATATTGTAAATTATGGTTTAAAAAAAAGTCCCGCTGGGTTTCTTGCTGGTTCTTTTTTTTATAGAATAAGGGTGACTGACACACGAGCACACAGTCCACCTGATGGTAAGTGGATGCAGTGGCCCATAGATATCTACATCTATCCTCGTTTGCGCATAAAATGCATCATTAAAACATATCATTAGGTACGTTTAATTATATTCATAAAACACACATTTCAGTTTAAAAAAGCTTAAGAAGAGCTATCTAATAAAGTTAACGTCTTAAGTTTTAAGTTCGTTTACTTTTAATCAAGCGACAAAGCTTAAAACTACTTTGGCTAAGTTAAATTCTGTATAACTTAGTCACTTCAGAATATAATAGAACATTTTTATTCAATATACATTACAAAAATACTTATTGAAAGTCATTTATGCTTTTACCACAGGTTCGAAAAAAATACCTCTTGTAGTAGTAGTAGTAGTAAGGGTATATAAAAGTACACACACAAGTGTAATAATAATCCTATATAATCAAATTTATTAATACAATAAAGAGAGTCTTGTATCATCATTCGTTTGTTTAACTCCTCTTCTAACATTCGCCCTACATGGCGACCCTGCCGAAGTAATTCGCGACGCGAATATGACACCCTTCGCCGTATTTGGAGTGGAACATTTTTTCTATGTGCAACTGATGAACTAAATCAAGCTATGGCGTTCTATCTTGAGCTGCGCGACTGTGTACACGTGTTTAACAAAAAGTTAACGAAAAATAACATCCAAGTAAACAGACTAAAGAAGATACCGTAATTGTGCAAAACGCAGTGGGAAGCAATAAGGCAGGAGTTGAACAATTACAATTTCACCTGACTACGAGTAATATTTTGCTGTCTATCATTGTGCTAGTACTTCTACTGGGGTCCCTGTATTGCTTCTATCGGACATATAGGCGATGTCATATAAAGTGGATTAACACAGAGATAAACAGAAATACCCTGAGAAGGTCTATTTTTCGGCAACCACAACCCTCCACAAATGTGGAAGAGGCAAGTCAACCAAGGGCGTATTATAAAGTATGACCGGCGCTGATCAGTGTTTAAAAGTGGAGTTTACGTGTATATAAAATGAGTAAAAAAGGTGCGTGTCTATTAATAGTGAAAAAAAAGGGTAATGTGTTTATAAATCAACTACATAAATCTGGGACTCTAGTCTATATTACTGAACTTTATATTTTAAATTAAATCATGTATTCGTTGTACTGTCTTTAATCGTCATTTAACCGTATTATTATTACATTAAATATTTTGTAAAATTATGTATAGTATACTCTATTCTACGTATTGGTGGTAAGTTATGAATATTTCTTTAGAACAATTATATGAGAAATTAAAAGAAGTGAGAACATATTTAATTAAAATTGGACCGAGTAGACGTGAAGGAAAAGTTTTAAATACTAAACTTAAAGAGGCCAATGAAATATTTAGTGACTATTCTAAGTTGTTAATAAATTTTAATAGTAAAGTAAAGGAAGGCAAGATTAAATCTACTGATATTCCATCTTATCAAACTTATTGTAAGAATTTTGAATCATTATATCAGGATATTATAAAATTGTGTAAGCCCCAGTGTGTACAATCTGAAAATCCGAGCAATATGGATACTTTCGATTTGAAAACGGCTCTGACTTTATTACCTGTTATGTCAGATGACGAGACAAGTGTAAAACAATTAGTAGACAATATTCAGTATTATAATTCTTTGTTAACAAAACAGGAATGCAAAAATAATTTAATTAAATTCATATTAAAAAGTAGATTATCTCAATCTGCTAAATTACGTCTTCAAGACGATTACTCTAATGTTGAAGACTTGGTTAGTGACATGCAGAAAGAGTTGTTGCCAAGAAAAAGCGCAGCAGCAATTCAAAGTAAATTGCAAAAATTACGCCAAAATGATATGCCAATTGCTGATTACGGAAAACAAATAACAGAGTTATTCGTGGACCTTACGATATCGCAAGCCAACGGTAATACCGAATATTACAATATTTTGAAAACTGTTAATGAAAAACAAGCGATCAAGCAATTTTCAGATGGCTTACGAAATCGTCGAATCAGCACAATAATATCTGCTAGAAATTACAGCTCCCTGAAGGATGCCATTCAAGCAGCTCAAGATGAAGAGACTTCATCATCATCGGCCACAGGAGAGGTGATGGGTATGTCCAGTAAGAAATTTTATTATTCTAGGAATTTTCATTATAACTCTAGGTACCCACGCGGCAACGGGCGTAATCGGCAAACATTTTCACAGCGAGGACACTACCACGGAAACTCGCAGCGATCGAGTTCATGGAACCACTCGAACTCACGTGGCCAAGGACAGCGAGGACGATATAATCGAGGTACGTTTCGTAATTATCGCAGAAATCAAGGGATAAAAAGAAATATAGTCAATATAATTAATGAAAACCAAAAATCAACTTCAGATGAACCCCAACTAGATAAGTTTTTTCGAGAATAAACAAAATCATTTAATTTTGGCTAGTAGTAATAGCAATTGTTTTATTCATTTACCAG